CCCCCCGCCCTCACACAGAACATCCACCTCACTCCTACTCCCATACTGTCCTTTTCCTTCTCTCCCTATCCCTCTTCCACCTATATCCCCTGTAACTAGGTACAGCCGACAAGGAAAGAGAAGAAGCTGACAAGGAAATATTCGGTCTACCATCTACCATTCTTGCAATTCAACCCCACCCTCGCATTCCCCCTCCCCACAATATTTAAAATATACTACATATAAAGTAACATACTCAAAATAAAATATTAATAAAAAAATAGATTGTAGAGGAATGGCTACCCTCAACCCTCCACCACCTCCCTCCGTCCCCTCTCCCTCTGCCTCCTCGCCCCACCCTGAAGCCGCACCCTCAAGGTCACGCGAGAAGGAAAACGGGAATTCGAGGAGGCGGAGAGAAAACGGGAAATTTTCCAAGCGCGTTCGCAGTCGAACGAAAAATCGCATTCGTTGTGAGTTTTAACGGTTGAATAGAATTTGAATGTTTCTACAAAGAGTTGAAGGGATTTTTGCAATATGGCTGTGGTTTCACAAAAGGCAAGCGGATAATTGAGGCCCGTTTGGAGGCCGGAATCGAACTCGGACGCAGCGAGGCTCTTGAACGGTGCGTTGTTTTCGATGTTGTTTTTCTTCCACGTAAGTCCTGGATCGGCGTGCGTTTTCGGGGCGTTTTCCAACTCTATCCAAGCTCCGGCGTCTTATGAGAGCGAGGCGGTAGCGAGGGGCCATTGGCGGGAGTCGGTGAACTGTAGGAGAAGTAGGAAATAAAGGATAAATAAGGGAGGAATGAAGGAGGAGGTGGAGCTAGGGGTAGGGGGGTCGGGAGGAGAGGGAGGTGTCTTGGCGTAGGCCTATGTGGCGTGGAATCCTGGTTTGTTGTGCCGCTTTTCTTTTCAGTTCAAGTGGGATTCTATATTCTCGATTCTTAAAAAAATGGTAAGGCTACACAAAGCAGGGTTGGGACAATTATTTTCTCGTAAGACTCGGGGTCTGTCTTGAGAAAGAGTTACCAAGGAGGAACCCTGGGCTTGGGATATTTGCTGCTTTGTTGCATTGGAATATTTGCTATCTCTTGTTTTTTGGTACTTATGTTTTAGGCTTTTGGTTGACTGTTGTGTTTCTTATTGTTTAGTTATCTTTTAAAGTCAACATAATGAGATTTCTTTGTGAGTTGCAGCAGTGATAATTTTATGGTTTAGGACCAGTGTAAAATGTTTGTTTATGAGCAAGCATTTATTTATTATTAGTTTTTTGTGTATTCATGGTAGCTTTCACATAGTAAAAATATGTTATTGGCATTCTTTGTTATCCTCGACTTCACTAATCCAATAGATTAATTGTTTCCACTGGGTGTACGGCAAATCTGTTTTTCTCTTGCTTGGTACTCGACCATTTTACTTCTAGTGGTCTTTAGGAGAGAGATTCATCTCTTCCAATGATTCTTAGAAGGTGGACAGTTTCCCCTGTGTTCAGGAAGGTCAGCATAGTTAGTGCTGTTTAAGCTACAGTGTTCGCTTTGATTTTGAGATACATTATCTTCAACTTGGTATGCATGGTAAGATAAAGCTGAAGTTCTGGAGCACAGCTTGAGCTTAGACAATGGGCAGCACTTTCCTCAGGCTTTTTCTTTCTTTCTTTCTTTCTTTCTTTCTTTCTTTTTGTGGCATTATTTTCCATGTCTTCAGATTATTTCTTGTTCGAACAATTACAACTTTATATTCCTCGACAAAGATATCATCTTTAGTTTGCCCTAGCTTATTGTAAAGATTAACTGTGGATTCAAACATTATTTAAGGCGAAGACAATGTTCCCCAGGGGTTGTTGTAAGGTGGAACCCAGTGTGAGAGAAAGGAGTGATAAAATATATATTTTCAATTCTTTACTTTGTTCTTTGAAAAATGACTTGATCATTTTTACATTTTATGGTAGTTATCCAGAGTAAGACATGAAGAATTGTGCAATGGTCTTAATAAAAATGAAGCCACACTGTTAGTGTAAGATAAAATTTTCAGAAAGCAGAAGGAAGCTCATAATTACTTATCAATGTCTTTAGGTGTAAACTTGATATTGCATTATCCTCCACTACTCGCTTACTGGTAATATTATATTAACTCACTTACAAAGGGTGTCCCACATATGAGAGACCCAGAAAAAAAAAAAAAAAAAAAATGCTGGGCATCCCGCCAGTGTGACACTGTATCAGGACTTGTGTTCCAACTCAGCAGTGGGCCACGGGGAGAATCCGGGCCAATTTGTAGTCGCCTGGAAACTTATTTTCGGATTCAAAATATACTGGCGGTAATGGATTAAGCTCCCTCTAGGTATATTCTAGCAGAATGACCATTCTCTTTATTAAATGTCAAATCAGGAAGCAATTAAGAGTCTGTCTTACCAGAATTCTTAAAGAAGAAGGCTAGGCTTTACAGAGCATATAAAGTGGTGGCCCATTATTGGTTGATGTGGTCCTATTGGGGATAATCACTGTTATTTTGAGTATTAAGTTATTTATGTACATTTCCTCTCATTTTTCCTCTTCTCTCTTACTCGTATAATTTAAGGAGATAGAGGTAAGGATAGACAAATATGAAAAAAAGCTTTATTTACGGAATAGTAAAGATTGGATGGTTTCTAAAAGCTTGTGCAATCAAGGCATGAAGATTTTTAGTTTTTGCAATTGTTTGGTATTGCTACATGGCTTTCATGGGAGCTAAATTATATTCTTGGAGCAATGCTTTATTAAAAAAAAAAAAAAAAAAGCCCACGGAAGGCTTTGTGAGGTTGTTTGTTGCTGAATTGTACTCTAGTGTAGTGGCTAATAGCTTGTATTTAGTAGAAAACAATAGTAATACACAAATACCAATTGAATTTAATATATAAATTTATAGTTTTTCTTTTGTTTGATCATTTGTAATTGCTTTTTTTCCACAATGTATCACAGTGCTGACCTGTAACAAATAACTTACTGGACTAATTATTCTACTGTAGATATATCATCTTGAATATAGCTATGTATTAAGATTAATTATAAGGCTTCTTAATCCATCTGTTACTTTAATTATTTTTCCTTTATGGGATGTTATATATTTATATATACTCATATATGTATATATTATATATATATTGTATATGATATTTTATGTGTTTTATATATATATATATTTATATATATATATTTATACATATATATTTATTTATATTTGTATTTGTATTTATTGTGTTTGCAAGACTATTATTTTTAGATCTTGGGAAGATATATTGAGAATTCTTTTTAAAGGATTATTTTCCCACACAGGTTGGAGTGCGTTACATGAGGCTTGTAATCGAGGCTTCTACGGAGTGTCAAAGTTGTTGATTGAAGCTGGAGCAGACGTTGATGCCAAGGGACTAGACAACGACACTCCACTACACGATGCATGTGTCAACAATCACTTTAAGGCAAGTCTTAGTCTCATCTTTTTTCCCTTGTTTCTTTTCATGAATTCTGATTGTTTTTCCCCTTGTTCTTTGTCCGGAAAATAATCACTCTATCATTTCTCTTTTTTTTTCCCAGTCAGTTCTTTTTTATAGTTACAAACTTATTACTCTCAGTATTTACTTTGCAGCTGGTGCGCTTATTGCTAAGGTGTGGGGCTGGCGTAAATGTGGTGAACCGGCGTGGCAAGACCCCCCGTGACGTGTGCCGTTCCCCAGGCATTGTGGCGCTGATCGAGGCGGCGGCACGCGGCCAGCTCCAGGACCTGGGAACATCTTCAGGGGACGAGCTCACACCACAACAGAAGGGTGCGTATTCCAGGGGAAGGGGAGGGAGAAGCCAGAGGTAGAGTGAATGGTTTGTGCTCCAGTTGGGGGTCTGGCTATTGGGTTTCTTTTGCTTTTGCTTCTTCTTTTCTGCTTTATTCTTCTACAGTTTGATTTTGTATGTTGATTTTGTACTTTTGCACTTTTATTTTTGTTTGTGTATTTTGATTTGTATATTTTGTATGTGCATTTTTATTTTATTATTTTTTATATAATTTTTTTTATTTATTCATTTGTTTATGTATTTTTCTTGTTTATCTATTTGTTGTTATTTGGGCAGATGGGTGCTTAAAGTTTTTATTTATTTTGCGTATATTTATGTTTTTGTTTTGCTTCATTTGGGGATACTGGGGTCTCAATTGTGTTGCACTGCATTGTTGCTTCTGTTGCTTTTTTCTTCTTTATTCCAAGCGTATGGAAAGGATTTGTTTTGTCTTGAAAACGTAAGTTTTCATCAGAAAACGTGCTTGAATGGTGATATCTGAATGCAGCTAGAGGCATTTTTCTCTCTCTCTCTCCTTTTTTTTTTTTTTTTTTTTAAGGAAATTGACCTTTAACCTAATGTTGCCAGGTCCATGTACTGTCCACTGTCGTTTTGTTTTGTGGATTTTGTTTGAACATAGATGGCCCCATGAGTGCTTAGTGACCAAGGAGTCTATCAGTAGGCCTAACTGACCTCACCAGATTTCCCTATTCGTTTTTTTTATTATTATTATTATTATTATTATTATTATTTTATTATTATTATTATTATTATCATGATAATAATAATGATGATAATAATAATAATAATAATAATAATAGTAATAATAATAACAACAACATAGTGCTAATAGTATTGAATTTGAGTAAATTTTTNAACACACACACACACACCACACACACACATACATACATATCATAACATACAGTTAACATACATACATACACACATTACACCACACACATACATTACATACATTTATCATACATTCATTATCATATTCATACATTACATACATACACCACACAACACTACAGCACAACACACACATATCATTACATTACACTTACATACATACATATCCATACATAACATACATACATACACACACACAACACAACACACACCACACACACACTACACACACCACCACATCACACACACAACACACACACACACACACCACACACCACATCACACACACCACACACACAGAAAAGATGAGAGAGAGAAAAAGAAGAAAGAGAGTAGAGATGAATGTGTGTACTGTGTGTCGTATTAATATGTTATTAATATATTACATACATACACATACATACACACACACGCTCATATACATCACCACTCGGCAATCATATTCCCGATAAAAAAAGATCTAAATTCTCCATTGGCAGAATTTAACTAATGGGACCATTGATTATTGCAATGTTTGTATAAAAAGCGAGGATTCTCCATTTTCGTTTTGGCAGCCAACATATTCCATATTTTCTTGCATTTTACATGGGTTGTGGTGTTTTGGGTGAGTGTGTATTGTTTGTTTGTTTGTTTGGTCTTGGATGGTTTGTGTTTGTTGTTTGAGGATGTTTGGTAAGTGTGTTTTGTGATTTTTTGGTGGTTTATTTTTTTCTTTTTTTTTTTTTTTTTTGTCCTGTGTTCCTCTCTTCGTCGTAATTTCTCCTCTTTTTCTTTCTCTCCCTTTCTGTCTATCTGCATCTTCTTCTTTCTGCTCTCTTCGCTTTTCTCTCTGTCATGTATCTATTAATCTTCTATCTTGTCTCTGATCTGTATCTTTCTTTCTCTCGCTCTCTCTCTCACACACATTTCTCCTTCCTCCCTATCTATCTATCTATCTATCTACATTCTGTCTCTCTCTCTCTCTTCCTCTTCTCTCTCTCTCCTCTCTCACTCTCTCCTATCATCTCTCTCTTTCCCTCCTCCCTCCCTCCCTCTCCCTACCTCTCCCTCCCTCTTCTCTCTCTCTCTCTCTCTCTCTCTCTCTCTCTCTCTCTCTCTCTCTCTCTCTCTCTCTCTCTCTCTCTCTCTCTCTCTCTCTCTCTGTTCTCTCTCTCTCCTCTCTCTCCTCTCATTATTTCCTTGTTAAAAACTGGTTTCCATAAGATACTTATTGCGTTGTCTACCTCAGCTTCCGCCGTTGGGTCTTGTGTCAAAAGTCTTCGGCACACGATCACAGACAAACACACACAGTCAGTCAGTCAGTTAGTCAGTCGGTCGGTCGGTCTGTCTGTTTATCTGTCTATCAGTTAAGTATTCACTCACACATACGCACGCACGCACACGCACACGCACAGCGCACTTCACACTCACGCAAGTACGCACGCCACGCACAAACACACCACACGCACAAACACACACACGCACGAACGCACACGCACACACACACACACAGCACACACACACACACACACACACACACACACACACACACACACTCACACACACGCACACACACACACACACGCAACACACACACCACACACACACACACACACACACACACACACACACACACACACACTTACACCCCCCCCCAACAA